TATAACACTATCAAGGCTTTTCCATGCGTCAGCCTCTTTGCTAGACTCTTCCTCACAATAACCTTATGAATTATTATCATCATCCCCACTTTGCAGATGAGATTGAGAACCTGAGATTAGTAAATATTTTGTGAGCTGCTGAAAGCCAGGTTCTACACTGGGTTCTAAAATTATAAAAGTGAATAAACCTAATTCACATTTGTCACAGTTCATGGAGGGATATGGATGTTCACAAAGACAGTAATATGCTGTGAGGTGCAGTAGACTTAAGGACCAGGCTAATCCCCACATGGGAGTGAGCTGATAAGGATTTGAGGTCCTACTCCTTCCATCATTTGTGTATTTTGATAGGACATAGTTAATTCTCAAAAATTCTCTGTTACATGGAATTTCAGGTACTTGATAAATTTAGTGATTCACATCTGATTTCCTAACCTGGAATCAAACATCTTTGCAGGAGGCTGCTTCCTCCAGGTGGAGTAAGACATATTTTGGTCAGACCTGCTCCAAATACTGTTTTCAGAGTGCCTTAGTTGGGGTTTCCACAAAAAGCTGTGCTGGAGACAAGGACTTGTGTGCAGGTGGCTTATTTTAAAAGTGATCTCAGAGAAAAGATTGAAACACAGAAGGATAGAAAGCCAACCCAAGTGTGGATTCTCGAACTGATTACCTTAATGAAAATTTGAGATCGATCCCTCTGAGGCACTGTGACACATTGTGGAGAATGAACTATGAAAGATGCAGAAGACTGGAGCATTTACCCGCGGGCTCCCATGGGGCGTTAATGCCTTCACACTTAAAGGTTTGCACATGCACCAGAGTGGTAGAGTGGACTCCCACAGATATTCCAAATGTGGTGACAGAGATGTCGTTCTAGGGCAGAAAGCAGAGCACACGTGGTACAGCTTAGGAGCCAAGTTTTTGGGCACCAACTGTATGCAGCCAGCTGCCACAGCACCAGTAAAAACCAAAAAGGTGAGCTGAGTAACATAAAATAAAGCAGAAAAAATGTCCAACACAGAGAGCTTGCTGATGGAACCTGAACTCGGAGCCTTGTAAAAATGCCCAGAGTAGAGGGTAGAGGACACCACAGCTGTAAGGCAAGGCCCACATTATGTGATTTGCAATACGCTAAAAAGCTTGGAAAGGTCTTTGTTCCATTTGTTGCTTGTTCTGAAAGTCCATCCCTTGTCCCTTATCTTATTGCTGTGCTTTGATTTAAGGCTTCTTGTCTGACTTACAAGGAAAAACATAGTGCCTAAGGGACTGTTGCTTCAAGTTATTGATACCTAGCAGCCTATTAGACTAGTTGGTCTTCCTTAGCACATCTGATCATGTCCTTCCCCTGATCATGTCATTTCCCTATTGAAAATGTTTCTTGGCACCACACTGCACATACATTTCCCGTTGTGACATTCAAGTGTCTCCCCTGTATAACCCTGGGCTGCTGTTCCAGGGCTGATATCCAATTATGTCCTTTACTTATACTCCCATTTCAGCAAAACTAAAGGCCACGTGGGCTTCTTCTGGGTAGTTTGAAAAACCCTTTCAACTGGAAAGGTTAGACCCATGTTTTATTCCAGTGTCTACCACCAACTAGCTCTGTGATTGGTTGGCTCTCAGTTTTCTTGTCTGGAAGATATACAGTACCAGGATTAGATCAGTGAATCTCAAACCTAGCTAAAGATTCAGAATACCAGGGGAGATTTAGAAGAGAAAACAGATTGTAAAGTCTCACCCTTGGAAATTCTGATTTATTATGTCTGGATTAGAGCAGCAGAATATGTACTTTTAATGAGCACACACATACTTCCCTAATTCATGACCATGAAATAGACACTCCGGGCGTAGCTAGAGTGGCTCCAACCTCTGAGAGGACTTTCCCCAGAAAGTGGCCCTAGTTTTGGTAAACCTGAGCAGAAACCAGAGTTGGAAGGAAACAATAAATGGACCAAAGTAAAGATCTGGGAGACTCCTCAGTTCATCCTTGGGACCCTTCTTCCTGGTAGCACCTGCTCTACCATGGAAACAGGTCCATCCACCATGAGGAAGTCTCTAGGGTGCTATGAGAACAGACCCACAGCATCCAGAAAACCTTTCTGCTGAAGTCCAAAATCTGTCTGTGTAGATATAATTCTCAAGAACAGGAAGGGCAGCAGTGGTCTCTCTCTCTCTCTCAACCTCTAAGTGACTCTTTTCTTTTGTCCCCATTGAATGCCTTAAATGAGAACGGTAGTTGAGAATTTCTCTGTGACAGAGTTTATCCTCGCAGGCTTAACCAACCAAATGAAACTCCAGATCCCCCTCTTCTTCCTGTTTCTAGATTTCTACATGGTCATTGTGGTGGGGAACTTGGGTTTGATAACCCTGACTGAACAGAACTCTCACCTGCACACCCTCAAGTACTTTTTCTTCTATAACTTGTCCTTCATAGATTTCCACTGTTCCACTGTATTCACTCCCAAAGTGCTGATGAGTTTTGTCTCAAAGAAGAACATCATTTCCTATGCAGGGTGTGTGATTCAGCTCTTCTTTCTTTTCTTCGTTGTCTCTGAGTCTTTCACCCTATCTGCAATGGCGTATGACCACTATGGCACCATCTGTGATCCACTGGTATACACGGCCACTGTGTCTCCCCAGGTCTGCCTGTTCCTTTTCTTGGTTGTCTATGGGATGGGGTTTCCTGGGGCTATGGCCCACATGGTGTGCATGATCAGGCTGACCTTCTGTGTCAACAATCTCATTGACCACTCTGTGTGTGACATCCTTCTTTCCCTTCTCATGCGCTCTTGCACCATCACCCATGTGAATGAGATGGTGGCTTTTGTTGTGAGCATTGATACTGGTGTGCCCACAGTTACCATCTTCATTTCTTATGCCCTCATCTCCTCCAACAGTCTCAGTATTCATTCCACTGAGGGCAGTTTCAAAGACTTCAGTACCTACGGTTCCCACATAATTGCAGTTTCTCTTCTCTTTGGGTCAAGGGCATTCATGTACCTCAAGCCATCTTCTCTTTTACCTGTGAACCAGAGGAAAGTATCCTCCTTGTTCTATATTACTGTGGTGCCCGTGCGCAACTTGGTAATCTATAGCCTGAGGAATAAAGACATCAACATTGCTTTGGAAAAAAAAAAAAACCTTGAGCAAAACATCATTCCCCTTAGAAAAAGGCAATACTAGGAAAGGGAGTTTTTCCTTTCATGAGTGATTCAGGTTCCATTGGTTACATGGAGGAAATTTTAACTCTTATCAAACAAGTTTTTTCTTCTGATTTAAGCATCCTTTAATTTAAGAATATTCTTTAAACTAGGATACTCATATTTCATGAACCTTAAAGATAATTAAACTCAGTTCTCTCATATTTCTGACAATAAGTAAAGGCTTATGTAACTTACCCAAGGTCAGTCAGCAGCAGAACTGTGACTAGAATCTAGGCTTTTGGTTTCTAGTACTGATTGTTTCTCATTATGGCTCACTTTCTTTCTCCCTCAGCCATGGAAGATTTCATTTCAACTATGAGCTGCTCTAGGGCATTAAAATCTGGTTCTGTCTACAAAAATTTCATGCAACTATACAGGGCTAATTTTAAATATCACATTTTTGCAAGAAAGTAGGAGTTATAGGATTTTGTTAAGTTGCTCTTGGCTAAATGACCAGACAAATTCTTGAAGAATTTTGCACAGAGTGTGGGGGAACTGTGCTAGGACCCACAGAACAGGAAACATGGCACCTCTTGAGACAGAATGTGGAGCTTTGGGGACTTGATGATGCTGAGAGGAAGACCTTATAGCATGTCAAGGTTGAGAAGGACAGGATTTGGGAATTACTTCCACAAAATCATTTTGTTGTTCAATCTCAAACTGTGTTTTGTAAGGCCAGAGTGGAGAAATCTGCCGCTCAGGGAGGTCAGCTAAGGATCCGGAGACTATTTCAGAAGCACAGAAAGCCTTGTGTTACAAGCCAGTAATCAGATTAGCACAACACAGCAGAAGGTCTGCAGAGGAAATGACCACTGATTGTTATGGCACTACATGCAACAAAGACCGTGTGGGGTATCCTCTGTGTGCCTCTTCAGGTCTACTTTCTGCCCTTTTGTACCTTATCCAGGTCCTGGGAGGCATTCCCTAATGGATCTTCACAATAGGCTCCCTTATTTTCTGATTTCTTGTTGAGTTAGGCCAATGGCAGCATCCAGCATTGACAGAGGAAATCAGAGGGCAGGAGGAGTGTAATATTGTGATATTTATTTCTCTGACTTCCTTCCAGGTGGGCTACACTGTCAGTAACTGAATGCCCCATTTCCTACCTGGTTACAGTAACTGGTTTCTCCTTTGTTTCTTCATATTGAGGGGTGGTAATATCTTCTCTTCGCCAGCCTGGGGAGCTTCACCTTCCCTTTGTCTTTTTTCTCAACCTATACCAACGCAAAGAGTTCCTTCATTATAGTTTTCAATTACTTTGTTTCAGTGAATCGTCTTTTTTCTGCTGGGGCCCTGACTGATAAATTTTTCCAGTATAGGTTAGAAAAATTCTACAGCTCAAGTTTGTAAATCCACAGCCTAGCAGTACTGTATAAAGGCCAGCAGAGTTGACTTTTGGTTTACAAGAAAACTGTAAGTGGTAAATATTTCTTTGTGAAGCAGCTCCATGTGAAATGCTGTGAGAGTACATTTGACTTGTAAGATTCTCTTTAGGAAAATTCTCTTCTATTTGGAAAAATGAAGTTTGGATGCTTTGGGGGTGGTACCTACCAGTAAAAGTGAATTCAAAAGAATGGGAATGGAATGAGAGAACTCTGCTTTAGACACAGCACAGAATAGCTAGACAGCATGGAGCTCAGGTAACTGTGGCAGAGGAAGGAGAAGAGCAGCATAAGGACTCAGAAAGACCAGAGAATTGGAGGATAGAATCGAATTTGAACTCTTTTAGCTTTCACTCTGCATCTACATGACCTTAGCCAAATTACTTGATGTCTCTGAGCATCAATGCCTTCATCTTTAAAGATATTTTTCCAGGATTATTAAGACAATTTAATACCAAGTGCTCAGTAAATTTCCTTTCCATCCTTGCTAGATCCTCTTCCTTCTAGTATCAACACTTCCACTAATTTATTGGTGTAAACTTGGAACAATCATTTCATCTTTCTGTGCTCACACCTACTTCTATGAAAAATGGCTATGCTCTATCAGATTATTTCTACATTCCATTTACAATATATGTATATACTTATTTGTAGATTGACTGGGTAGTACATGTTCATGGTATTTAAAATTATCACCAAAAAATAATCAGTATAAGAAAATCTCCCTTTGCTCCAGTTTCCTGGTCCTCCTGTACCTTCCCCAGGGTCCATCATGGCTGCTTGTTAGTTCTATGTTTTTAGACAGTCTTTGCATGTCCAGTGCCTGCACATACATTCACATGACCTTGTCCTTGTTTTCAAAGTCGGAGAAGCTGCTTTAAAATGTATCTACTGCTGAAAATTAATTAGAAAAGGAAGGAATGTGGAGTGTTACTGTGATAAGAAAATGAATAAAAAAGCAGAAAAGATGTATCGGGAGGGTCATGGCTAGCCCCAAAGAGGGAGAGTGAAAGGAATACTGTGAAAACAAGGGAGGGTCAGCTCCAGTTCAAGCTCTGGCTGTGTGGCCCAAGACACAGCTCACAGCAAGAATCTGGTTTTTCTGATTTCTTGCCTTCAACTTGCTTTTCATGGTTGCAAAAAATTCAGCCATATGGATATATTTTAGCTAATTAACAACTTTCTACTACTGTGTTATTTTAATTTTTCCATATTATAAATAATACTCGATCGACACACTTATTCAATAAATCTTTCTGTTTTCTTTCTAATTAGGATTATTTCTAGACACAAGATTCTTGAATTTTATTGCAAATTTCTTCTTGCAAGTGTATCTCAATTTGCACTCTTGCTAGCAGCACAAATGTATCTGGACTGTCTACTCTTGGCCAGATTCTGAACTAGTAAGGGTGGCACTCATGAAAACCTTTAATTTTGGCGGTGGTGATGTTTGTACTATTGTCTCCTCCTTTTATATCTTTTTTTCCCCTCTACTTCATAAACTCCTTGTGGTACCTGGATGGGTACAAAAAGAAAAGTGAGAATAAAGTTGAAAATGTTTTCCTCTTCCTTTTCTTTCCTTACATACTCCCCTTATTTCTTAACTGGCTTTTCTTGGCTTGATCATATTTCTGGTAACCTTTTTAATCCTAGAAAGGGAAGATACTCTGGAGCCTTTACCTTTGTGATAATCTATTGTGAGGTGTCTTTCTGGAATACCTTTCTCCTGCCCTCTGTTGGTTTCAACGCCCCTGCTTCATGTTCTCACAGCACATTGCACTTAACCTATTAAGTGCTAGTCTCAGTGTAGAGTCAGTACTCACTTTTCTGTATCTACCCATGCCACAAATTAAACTGTAACTTTTGTGTGAGCAGAGTCTTTGGTGTCCAATTTTATATACGCCCCACGCCTAGCACAGTGCCTGGCACATGTAGAGTAGGGGACGGAGGTTAACAAATATGTATTGAATGTAAGAATGGAGCATCTAGCAGTTTAAGAGCTGATTTCCTACAGGGACTTTCCTGTTCTTATTCTTCTGGCAACACATTCCTTTCCTGCAGCACATAGACACATGTTTGGTCCTTAATATCACATTACCTTGATGCCTTGATTATAATCTTCCTATGTTTACTCATGATCCCCAATTTTAGGCACATGGCACCTGGTGGCTGTAGCAGAAAGCAGACCTTATTTTAGATTTGCAAACGCCAACTTTCCACTCCTTTATATGGTAAAACGTATAGTGTTACATAAAATGGTTAACTTAAGCAAACTCTAAATTGTTATTCAATTGAACATAGGGCCTTGAAGGAAGTTTTATAAAATACCAGCAATTGGGCATTCATTTTAACTAATATCCTAGAAACGACATACTGAAGGAAAAGTCATACAATGAAAAAATGAATCATTCATGTACAAAGCTCCCGTTTTCCCCAGAGTAACAGAGACTGTGATCCTGAATGATTGCATTCAAAAGATACACTTAGAAAAACTTAACCAAGACCATAGCCTGGTTGGTCTTTACTGACTTTTCAGGGCACAGTACCGTACGCCTTTCTCAGAATAAACCTGCCTTTTTCTTTACTCTCACAAATGAATATGTTCTATGTCCTCTCTGAATTGCTTCTGAGGACATTGACAACACAGAGGTTTTGTAACTTTACAAGTTGCTTGGTAATTTACTGGAGAAGATTACCACTTTTCCTTTTATAATTAAAAGTAAATTGTGGGGAGGTATTTTGAGACTGTGAAATGTCTTATTCCTTTTCAATCTGTCACATACTAGTTTTAGCATCCATTGATGATTCCTGCCTAAATCAATGCTTACTCTGATGGTTGAAAGATGGAGACTTTCTAACTCTATCAATCCTTTGTTATTTGTTAGTTGGCACTCTGTCAGGAAGCACCTTTTCTTCTTCTGTATTTATTTATTTATTTGTCTATGTACTTATCCACTTATCTATCTATCTATCTATTTATTTATTTGTTTATTTATTTGAATCATTGTGAATTCATGTATTCTAATTTTATCTAATGGTTTATGACTCATTATTGTCACTATTGCTCAATTTGTCTCTGATTTGTCCACTGGGACCCTCTTCGCACTCGTTCCTATGTCTTTTTAATATATTACCATTAGGTTTTCAGCACTTTGCTACTTTCTGGTAAAACAATATGTTTCAAGGCCCATTCTGTACTTTCTCTGTCCCACCACTGGCTGAGACAAATGGTGTTTACAACTAAGATATGAATGCTAGGTGGAATAAGCTGTATTCGATGTAATTCTGCAGGTATTCAATGGGAGAATATTTGTAGTGGTAAAATGCTCATTGACATGTTTCTCCTTTGAGGATACCTGCCTGTATTAGTGATAAACTTGCTCTCTGTGAATGGGCCAATGCTCTGGGCCTAAAGACAATGATTCCTAAGCATCATCTGTGGTCCTTTTCTCACTGGACAGTTTCCCATCAGAGACTGGTGAGACCACATGAAAGGAAAGAATAGGCCTGGGGTTGAAGGGGAAAAAGCCCCCAGACTCTTGTCCACACAATTTGGTCGTAGATACCACTCAGTCTGACCTCCTTGAAGTTGTGACTG